GCTGGATCCTCTCTTGTCTGGATTATCACAACAGGCTCCAACTCTTCTGCCGGCTTCTGTCCTGGTCCTATTTCAGTCTCTTAGAAACACAGCAACCAGAGAATCCTGTTCAAAAGTGAGATGCTGCCCCTCTATCAGAGCAGGCCCCACATCCTGTCTACGACCCACAGTCTCCGGGTCCTCCCTACACTAGCTCTTCCTGGGAGCATGGTGGCTGCTATTTCCCTCCCCACCCACCTCCAGCCCCCCTCCGTTCTTGTCTTACTGTGTCAGTCCTGTTCCTCAAACATCCAGGGATGCTTCCACCCCAGGACCTTTGCATGGCTATTCCCTCTGCCTGGAATATCTCTTCCCCTGATAACCACATGGCTCACTCTCTTACCATCTTTGAGTCTTTGTTCACACTTCTCAATGGACGTTCTCGATCCCATTCCTCTACTGGAATTTCCTATCCCCTTCCCTGCTTGATTTTTCCCAATATCACCGTGACAGTCTCACATATTAGATAGTGAACTTGTTAATTTTGTTTATTGTGGATTGCAAGAGCCCTGAGGGCCAGGTCTTTCTTGTGTTTGTGAAATGACTGTTAGTATGTTAGCCTCTCAGTTCCCACTCTCACCCCTCCTCTGTATGACTGCCCTAACCTCCCAGTAAGCAGTAAATCACATCCTGCTTGGTGGGAAACCCATATAAACCATTCTGTAACTACTCAAGACGAACTGTTCTGTAACTACTCAAGACAAACTGTTCTGTAACCGAAAATTTCCTGCTTGCACTCCCCCCAACTCTGATAAAATTGTGGTTTTTGCCCTTGTAAACCCCCTACCTACTCTGTTCGGGGTCAAGAGTTCTTTGGACATAAGTCCGCTCTTGAAAGCCGGCTAGTAAAGGACTCAAAATTCAATTCTCAGTGTGTGGCGATTCCTTTCTCCCATGTTGGCGATAACATTTGTCTGCCACCATATCCTCAGCACCTAGAGGAGAGCCTGGCATACTGGGGTTGGCTCCTTAGAGAGCTGTGGAGTGTGTGAATTCCCTGCACATAAAGGAAGAAGCTACATTCGTTCATGGACCCTGTGACTTCACAGGCGGCTTAAGGGGCCCCAGGGATGTGCATTCCTGGCACGGCTTGGCTTGGTCTGGGTCTTCATTCTACAGAGGTCTTGAGTTAGGAATATTCTGGAGGCAAGTCACAGTGGGATGAGGCATGACCACGCCCCACCTGGCTCACAGGCACCTCTGCTTTTCCTGCAAGAATTAATTTAGGGGCTATTTGTGAACATGGAAAGTGGGTCCCAACTTTGCTGGCAGAGGCTCTGCATGGTGGGCTCTGCTTTTGGGGGAGGAAGCAGAGTTGCTTGATTGCTGTTTCCCCCTCCTCTCACCTCCATCCTTATCCTGAGACCTGTCCTCTACCAGATAGCACCCTCTCTCTGGTCACGGGCTTCTGCCAGCTTTGCTTCCCAGACAGCTCCTTCCTTCTGCCCATTGCCATGGCTGCACTCTGCTCCGAGTCTCCATGGCCTCTCACCTGGAAGATGGCAGTGGCCCCACAGGCCTCCCTGCCTCTGTTCTCACACTTCTATCACTACCCTCCCCACGGCAGCCAGGCTGACCTTTCTAAAGCAGCTGTCCCCATCATACTTAGAATGAAATCTGACTCCTCCTCCTAGCCCCAGGCCCCCTAAGATAGGGCTCCTTCACTGTCTCTCAGACCCCTCCATGCATGCACTGTGCTCCCACCTCCCCTCTAAACCTCAGACATGGTGCCTGCTGTAAGGACTCACTCTTGCTGTTCCCTCCATCAGATACTCTCTTCCACAGAAATCCTCTTCCCTCTCCTCTTTCTCGATACGCTCTCTTGACACCTTATCTAAGTACCCCTGCCCCTCCCTCATCATCCTCCATCCCCTCCCAGACTTCCCTGAAGCTGACTCAGCGGGGAGGGGAGAGAGGGGGTTTGTACACTTGCTTATTGCTGGTTTCCTGTGCATGAAGAATGCAGCCTTCACGAAGGTACTGGCTTGTATCCCCAGGTCCAACACTAGTGCCCAGCGCATAATAAGTGCTTAGTAAATATTTCCTGAGTGAATGAATGAATGAATCAGCTCTGGTGCCACCTCTTCTAGGGAACTGCTCTGGAATGACTTCCTCGTAAATCAAGTTAGATTTCACAGGAACAAATTTCAAGGGAACATAGCCTCACCATTGGCTTCTGTATTGTCAGTGGCAGGCTCCCTCAGCACCACATGCTTCCTTCTACTCCTGCATGCGGCATGGACATTAGGTTCACGGATCTGTCTCCAGACATCTAGCCCTCAGGGACTGCTTCCACCCCTCTCACAGTCTCTTTTCCAGGTGGGTTTGACAGGACCTGAACTCAGAGCTGACTCAGGCTCCGCCCACCGAGGGCGCAGTCCCATTCCCTCCTGGTTAAAGCCCCGCCCATCTCTGGGAGCCATCCCACCCACTCTCTGGCCCCCACCTCTTCCTCTGGAAGCATGTTGCCTGTGTTGTTCTCCGGACATTTGACCATGATTTACTTGAGTGCTTCCTTATTTGCCCACCCAGTCACCTCCTTGCTCAGTCATCAGATTGGGGCCCATCATTTATTGGGCCCCAATTCCCTGCCAGTCACCCTGTGCTAGGTGCTGGGGATACACAAATGAATGGGACATAGTTCTGCCTTCAAGAAGCTCATAGTCTCCTGGGGATGCCTAGTGTGAATCAGTGAGATTGCAGCAAAGTGAGATTAGGGCTGAGATGGAGATACTGCAGGGTGCCAGGGGGTCCCAGAGGGGCTTCTGAAGAAGAAGGTGCAGGTGGGCCTAGGGACCAGGGGAAGAAGTGAGGAAAGTGGAGACAGGGCATCCTTCTAGAAAAATCATCTGTGATCCAGCTTCTTACCAACCAGGTTAGAACTTCATAGGGAATATAGAAATTCACACCTAAATTTTAAAAATAATTTAAACCATTATTTTTGTTGTCTAGCCCAGGACTGGCATTGTATAGCTCAGGGTTCAGCAAACTATGCCCAATGCCCACTGCTACCTGTTTCGTAAACCAAGTTAGATTTCACGGTAACAAATTTCAAGGGAACACAGCCACACCATTGGCTTCTGTATTGTCAGGGGCAGAGCTGAGTGGATAGGACTGAGGCCATATGGCTCGCAAAGCTTAATATGTTTACTGTCTGATCCTTTACAAAAAAAGTTTGCTGACCCCTTTTATAGATGCTCAAAAAATAGTGTTGGATTGAGTCAACTCAAATCAGACCCTGGGAATCCTGCACTGCTAATATGAGTCCAAGTCGTCTGTCCAGGGACACCAAAATGAGCCATTCTAATCTCTTCTCTCTTTAAAAAAAAGGAAATTGAGGCATTGAGTTGTTAGGAATTGCCACTGAAGAATGCTATGTCTTTCCTTTATTTAACAAAAAGCATTTACTGAGCACCTACTGTACTCCAGCAGCAGTGAATGCGCCACGCTTCCGGCCCTGGCTCTTACCACCTGGCTGATGAGGTATGACATCGTCATGGAGCTCCACCAGTGAGACCCATGCCCTCCAGTGTGACCCCTGGTGCAAGTTCAACTTGGCCTGCCCCTTCCACCTCATCTCCGCCGTGCCACATTTCCCAAGTCGAGCTGCTTCTCTGAGGGCCCTCCCTGCCAGGCTGGGCTCTTCCTGGGACCAGGGCCTGTGTCTCCCTGGTCCATCTTGGCCTCCCCAGCACTGAGCACAGGGTCCAGCACTCAGAAGGGACTCAGTCACACTGCCTGCCCGGCCAGGCTCCTGCAGCCTTGTCCTAGACCCACTCACAGGTAACAGGTAACAGGTAACCACACCAAACGGCCTTTTAGGAATTCCATTTAAGAGCAACGTCTTGAGGGAATTCATAAAAGGAAATGACGAGCAAGGTATGATATTTTTCTCCCGAAAAAAAAAAAGCCTATAAATTGCATTGTGTTCCCTTCCTTTCTCTTCCCAGCTGCCTGGCCGACTTCTCCTTCCAGAGGCTTTTCAATGAAACCAGATTCCAGGCTGACCTGAGAGCTGGGTTTGATGTGAGGAGTAATTATTGAAAGAGACAGGGGCAATCCATATAATAAAATGCCTCCTACGTGTTTTGCGGAAGTGATCTGCGGGTAATGCTAACCTCTCTGCGGTGGGGGGCGGCAGAGGAGGGAGGGAACCTGGGGGCAGAGCGGGGGCTGCTCGGAAGAAAGAAGACCTCGTCTGAAAGAGCCAGCCAAGAGCCTTCGGCTTTGCTGTCCCAGACGTCAAGGACTCTTAGCCCCTCTCTGGGAAATCCCTTCTCAGGGAACAGGTAGCCTTGTTAGTTTTTGCTGATGCTTGAGAAATTTCCTTGGGGCCTCAAAATGCTTTCTCTTGATAATATGTCTCAGGTGGCTTTAAGACCGCAGCTGTTGCATCAGGATTTCACTGACTTACTTGACTTGCGGGGGAAGAAAAAAAAAATCTTGGTTTTGGTTTTCTTTCTCATTAGAATTTCCAGTCTGGCACCCCCTGGTGGGTTTCTTCATTCAATTATTCAAGAAATATTTACTGAGTGTTTGTTACACGCCAAGCGCTTGACGGAGAATTTAACCGCAAGCAATAGGGAGAGTCCTTGCCCTGGCAGAATCGGGAGATGGTTAATCAAGTAGACCAGGACCCCACAGCATGATAAAGTGCTGTACTCTGGAACCCCACGCAGGAGGCAGGAAGGACTTCCTGGAGGAGGTGATGTTTCAGCTGAGACCTGGAGGATGGGTGGCAGTGTGCCAGACAAAGAGGGAGAGGGAAGGGTGTTGCAGGCAGAGGGAACAACATGCATGAAGGTTTGTAATCCATAATGGGTGAAAGGAAGGAGGTTCAGCTTTTTCCTGCCCTCTGCTGTGACAGAAACATGCAGATAGGCCTGGTCCTTGGCTCTGTGAAGAATGGAAGGGCAGGACTTGCCACCAGAAGGAAGATTAAAAAAATTGTGTGCACTCACGGAGGAAATATTCTGCTGTGTCAGCTTCGTAATCTGCATCCTCTGGGAAGTGATCGATCTGCTTGCACAGACCTTTGAAGTTCCCTGCAAAACAAGGGGAGAAGGAGCACGTGAGACATCGGAGTTTATGGGGGGGCTCAGTGCCCACCTGCCTCTTCCCGACATCTCACTGTTGGGAAGCCTGCCCAGCCCTCTCTCTCACCTCTGGAGGAAGGCTTCGCTTTGTCTGTTTGGACATCTGCCTGGTGAATCAAAACACACACACCCGCAGTACTGCGGAGAGATCTGAAGTCGGAGACTTCAAAACCTTGCCTTCCGTCCCTGCATCAGGGCTTCTGAGGATTAGCCGAAGCTTGGCAGCGGTGGAGGCTTGATTCCGGGCTGGAGACGGCCACAGAGGAGGCCGTGAATGCTCATCAGCTGTCTCCTTGCCCCAGCTTGGCTGGGAGTCGCTCTGCATTTTGCATGTGAGAATGCAGCAGCTCAACTCCAAAGAGGGCAGACCCCAGACCGATGCTGCCAGACATTCCCACAGCCCTTTAGGGCACTTGCAAAACACACTCCCATCTGTGACTGCATGGGATTCACCATCCCCAGCTCCTAACAGCTCAGAAATAAGTGCTGGCGGGGGGATTGGGGGCGTCTGAGCCCCCTGGGGCTGGGCCCTCAGCCAGGTTCTTGAACTACAACTCATTTTGGCTCTACCGTGGGCCTGTGAGAGGGGTCTTGTCACCCCCACTTAACAGATGAAGAAACTGGGGCCAGGGAGCCCAAACCATCTGAATAAGTACTGGCAGCAGCGGGGAGATGACGGAATCAGGGCTCAAACTAGGGCCTTTTGACTCTAGATATTTCCTCAGCGACTGCTGAGCAGATAAGAATTGAAATAGGGCAAGCCCCGGCCCAGGGGGCCTCTACAGGGCCTCACCAACGGTCACTGAGTGAGCGAGTGAACTCTTGGACACAATCTTCCTACAAGCCAATGACTAGAACAGAATTCACAGTCTCCAGAATGCGTCTGTTCGTTCACCACTATATCCCCAGCACCGGCGTGGACACAGATGTCTATTAACTCTCTCTGCGTGGAAAAGAAATTGAACTCGTACCGGGAAGTATGCACAGCGGGGAGGAGGCAGGCTCCGTGGCTAGACTGCCCGGGTGCTGCTCAGTTTCACTGAGTTGACTCAGTTTCCTTATCTGCAAGTGGAGATAGTAAGAATTCCTCCCTTGCAGACTGTCGTGGACATGAGCTGAGTGGATACATATAGAGTGGCCAGGATAATGCCAGACACTTTTAGGAGGTCCTTGGGGGGCATTGATGTGAGAAAGAAATGTCAGTCACTGACATAGAAGCTAGTACTATGTAATGAATACAACCCTCAACACATGTGAGCAATGTATTTCCTGATATAGAGTCCTGAGATTCCGATTATTTAGGCATTTTAAGGCATTATTACACAGATCTGTAAATATTATAAGCAAGGGGGGACCAACGAAATTATCTTTTGGAGGGTGACCCTTGGGTATAGGATTCCCCTGCTAGGTATCTAGTTAGGTAGAACGCTGGATATAAGTGTTCTAGGAATCCATTGGCATCAGTGTACCGGCTAGTGTTGTTTGTGGCAAACAGGGGGCTGGTTCGTCCACCGTGACCATGCACCTGCCCACACCTCGCTGAGTGTTCAGTGGTTTTTGACCAAAAGCTGTATGACTCACGTGCCCTACTCTCCCTAGTCAACCAATCTCACCCTGAGTGACTTTTTTTTTTGTTTCCCCAGATGAAGAAAGTCCTCAAAGGGAAACGTTTTTCTGATGTGGAAGAGGTGAAACAAAAAATGGCAGAAGCACTAAAAGCCATCAAAATCGACAAGTTCAGAAACTGTTTTGAGTAGAGGAAAAAGCATCTTGATAGGTGTATTGATTGCATCAAACTGAGAGTCCCTTGAAAATGACTGAAGTTTAAATATGGAAGAGTAAATATACGATTGTTTACAAATAAATTCTGTTTTTTGGGGGGGGTCATCCCTTGTATATCTGTATATTTATATCTACTTACTATGTACTGTATGTTTATATTCTATATATGTAAAATAAGCATTCTGGGTATTTCTAACTATTGTTATTATTGTTTTCAGAGACAAGATCTCACTCTGTCACCCAGGTTGGGGTACAGTGACGTGATCATGGCTCACTACAGCCTTGACGTCTCGGCCAAAGTGATCCTCCTGCCTCAGCCTCCTGAGTAGTTGAGGCTACAGGTATGCACCACCATGCCTGGCTAATTTTTAAGTTTTTTTTTTCTTTGTAGGTTTGGAGTCTTGCTATGTTGTCCAGGCTGGTCTCAAAACTCCGGCCTCAAGTGATCCTCCTGCTTCAGCCTCCCAAAGTGCTGGGATTACAGGTGTGAGTCACCACGCCTGGCCCTTTAGCTCTTATTATACGCTATGTGTGACAGAGATGAACCCCTTACCCCCAATTCAAACACGAGATATTCCTGTCGCCTGCTTTTCCAACTTCTGTAAGAAAACCAATCCCCAGAGCAAATTGGGACTTCTGGTAACTCTGCTGAAGCTTAGTAGGGTCATTCAAAATGATCCCATTGAGCAGGACTCTACTCTGAATGTTTTGAGTCCTACCCCCTCCACCATGCGGTGGCCCTCTGCCCTTACGTGTCCTGGTGCATTATAGGAGGCCTTGTTCTCTCCCTGGAAACTTATTTGCCCTTCTCTTCCTTCTCTACGAGGAAAGTCTTTATACCAGCTGCTAAGAGGATAAGAAAGCTCTCCCTATTGTTAAAATTACAAATCAGTGTATTTGAAAAGCACTTTGTGAAGCACTTTCCTTTTCTTTCAATTCAATCTGACAAATATTTCAGTAACTCAGTGCCAGGCGTCTTTATAAAGCATCGTGCAGGAGGTGAGGCTGGGAGAGCGGTACTGACGTGCCCCGAGGCGCCTCACAAATCGGGATGGCACTCAACTCAGATGGCCCCACACCTCATCCTGGTGGGCCAGCCCTCTCCCGCTCCCCACACGGCACAGCTGCCTCTCAGTGCAAGCCACAGCCTCGTCCATCCCTCGACCCTGGCTCCCAGCACAGGGCCTGGGGCGGAGGGAGGCTCAGGAGATGCTGGTGGAGAGGCCGTGAGCAGTCAGCAGCCCAGGCCGCTCCTCCCTGCTCCATGTCTCCTGGTGGGTGTCTTAGAGGCACCAAACCTGCACTCCCAATCTTTCCCTCCAGCCTGGTGCTCTGGAGGTCCCAGCTGGCTCCGTAGATGCCTCCCTAGGGCCCCCCTGTGCAGGCCTGCGCCCAGCTGTCATCGCCAACACCCCTTCCTCCACGATTCTGGCTCTGTCCATCACGGCGTCCTACCCGTGTTAGCTTCTAGTGTCTCTCCAGCTCGCTGGTATCTCTCCAGTGACAGCACCACCCACCGCTAGGTCGCTAGGTCGCCAGGCCCGCTCCCTGGATGCCTGCCATGGCTTCCCCTCTTGTCATTTGTGCCCATTCTTATCCCTCCCTACAGAGCAGTCACAGTCATCCTTTGAAGATGCAAACCTGATCATGCCATCCCCAGCTAGAAACACGCCACAGCTTCCCAGTGCACTCAGGGAAAAGCTCAATGTTTCTAATAGGACCTGACCCCAACCTCTGTCTCTGATCTCACTTCCACCCACCTCCTCCCCCTCAGCCATCTGTCCTGCCATACTTCCTGCTACCACAGGACCTTTGCATATGCTAGTCTTGCTGCCCGAGCCCCCCACCACATCCTTTGTTGTCTCCTTCCTCTGTCCCCCCTCTGCCCTCCTGCACTGTGTTGGTGGACTGTCCAGTACAAACTGGCCTGAGCGGGCTGCTCTGTGTTGGGGGTAGATGTTAAGGCCTGCGTGATGTCGGAGGGTATGTTCCAGTAGGGTGGGAGGAAGGGAGAGCCTGCAGAGAGGAGGGAGCAGTGCAGGGGGGATGTGAGAGGCTGAGGCCCAGGATGTGAGTGCAGGGGTGGACTGGGCACACCAGGAGCGAAGGCAACACCCTAGGGTGCGCTGCGGGGGATGGGCAGACACATTTCTCTTCTGGTCATTTCTATTTTTCTGATGAAAAGGGAAGTAGGATCATCAGTTGAGAGTGAGGAGGGGAGGAAGGGTTGGAGGCTTGAGGAAGGCGGAAGGGAATCGAAATTTTCTCCCCGAGAGTGGGAGGGGGAACGGACCCGGCGGTGAGCATGTGTGGGTGGCTCGAAGACCCCTCTTGAGATCCCGGAATTTTCTGCGTCAGAGGTGGGTGCAGTGTAGCTAGGGAGGGAGCGGGTTGGTGAGGTGTGTGCAAGAGGGGGAGAGAAAGGAGGGTTATTAAGATGGATCGCAGACTCCGAGCCAAGGGAAGGGGAGTGGGTTGGTCAGGGCGGCAGGGCCGCTGCATTCAGAGCTGGGGTGTGGGCAGGGGGTGACGGGAGTGAGCATGGCGGCTCAGGCCAGGTGGAGGTGGGTGTGACGACCCGTGTTGGGGGCTAGCAAGGTCACACAAATTCATACGTCGGACAAAACGAAAACGTTCACACTTATTTTCTACATACATCAAGTATAGATTAAGAAACTACCTGCCCCGTTACAAGCTGAAGTGCAAATGATTCAGAAAATTATTCTAATAAGCCCCAAGTCACTGGTTGGTTTTTAGAAATTAATGGTGTGATCTTTTGATGATGAGGCATTTACGCGCTAAATGATGGCTCTGCCGGACCATGCTTTGGCACAGGGAGCCACACCACTGTCCCCCAAACCGCCCTGTCATTCTGTCTCAGCGAGTTCAGAATCTTCTAACTGGTCTGCTGCCATTCGGCTGGAGGTCTCTCCAGCAGGGCCAGGACAGGGAATAAGATGGTAGGGGAGGGGTGGGGAGGGCAGAGACGGGTCCCAGCCCTCGCTTATCTCTGCCTGACGCAACCCGGGAACCTCCCCCTGCCTGACCTCTTCCCTGCACACAGTGGGACTGATTGGTACAATGATATTTCAGTACTTAGCAATGAGCGAGGCAGCACCGGTGCATGCAGGCTGGAGTGGGGTCCAGGTCAGGGGCTGAAGGGGCTG